GAATGCAAGGTTTAGAAATGATTAGAAGAGAATGCAAGGAGATTTCTCTATTGACCACATGGGTAGAGTGGTTTAAAGTTGAGTTTACAGATGAAGTGGAAATTGAGTATGTTCTTGAGATCCGTCCGTGGTTTGTTTAGGGCTTAATCTTTGCCCTGAAGAGATAGACCCTTGAGTTCTCACCCTTTTATGCCACTGTGGACTCCATTGTGTGTTGGGTAAGAATTCCATTTCTTCCCCTTCAATTTAGAGATGAAGCAGTCTTACATTATTGGTGACCCTCTCAGGGTTGACCATAATCTTCTTACTCGAAGCCATGGGATGTTTGTTAGAGTCTGTGTGACACTTGACTTGACCAAACCCTTGAAAAGAGTCTTGGTGTTTGGGGAAGAGAATGATGAGATAAAGAGCCTCATTAGCTATGAAACCTTATTTTGCTAAAATATGAAAACTATAAGAGAATATTTGTTTGTGGAAATTTACTGTATATTCTTCTCATTGTAGGAGGTTATATTTATAATACAACGAAACCTGAATGGCCAAGTAAATAATAAATTCCTAAATCTATTTACAGTAGAAAATCAAGAATTAAAATAAATCAATTACAATTATAATAGGAATTCTTGGTGTGTAAGGAAAGTAAGTCAATATCAACAAGTCACGCCAACACTCCCCCTCACGTTGGTGCATAGATGTCGCCAATGCCCAACTGATCCAGTGAATTGTGGAATGCTTTACTAGATATCGCCTTTGTCAAATATCCGCCAATTGATCCTCAGATTTCACAAAAGGAAACTGAAACACTTTAGCCTCAAGCTTTTGTTTGATGAAGTGTCGATCCACCTCAAGATGTTTAGTACAATCATGCTGAACTGGATTCTGTGCAATGGCTATAGCAGTCTTGTTGTCGTAAAAGAGATTCATTGTGGATGTAGGTTTATACCCAAGTTCAGTAAGCAACTTTCGTAACCAAAGAAGTTCACAAATCCCTTTAGTCATGCCTCTGTACTCGGCTTCTGCACTGGATAAAGCTATTACATTCTCTTTCTTGCTTCTCCATGTCACCAAATTACCTCCCACGAATGTAAAGTAATCCAATGTGGATTTTCTATCTGTTACATTACCTGCACAATCTGCATCTAAATAACCATCAATATTTAGATGACCATGCTTTGAGAACATAAGTCATTTTCCAGGTGCAAACTTCAAATATCTAAGTATCCGAAGAACTGCATTCATGTGGTCTTCACTTGGAGAATGCATAAATTGACTGACAACGCTCACCGTATAAGCAATGTCTGGTCGAGTATATGACAAATAGATCAATCTTCCCACTAACCTTTGGTATCTTTCTTTGTTAGTTGGAACTTGATCCGGATATTCTCCAAGATGATGATTCTGAACAATAGGATAGGAGTGTCCGCAGGTTTGCAATCTAGCATTCTTGTGTGTGTCAACAAGTCCAAGACATATTTCCTTTGAGAGAGAAGTATGCCTTGTTATGATTGAGCTACCTTAATTCCCAAGAAATACTGAAGTCCACCTAAATCCTTCATCTCAAACTCAGTAGCCAAATAGTATTGTAGCTGTGATATTTCCTGTTTATCATTCCCAATAATAATCATATCATCAACATAGATTATTAATGTTGTTACCTTCCCTTTCAGATGTTTCAATAACAGAGTATGATCTAAGTTGCACTGTTTGAAACTATTGTTCTTCATTGCCATGGTGAATCGTCCAAACCATGCATGTGGTGACTATTTCAATTCATACAATGCTTTTCGTAACCTGCAAACTATTCTAGTCTGAGTAGTTTTATATTCAGGAGGAATGTCCATATACACCTCCTCTATGAGTTCGCCATGTAGAAAAGCATTTTTTTACATCAAACTGGTGTAGTGGCCAATCCAAATTAGTTGCAAGGGACAATAAGACTCTGACGGTGTTTAACTTTGCAACTAGAGTAAAGGTTTATTCATAGTCTATACCATAGGTCTGTGTGTACCATTTTGCCACAAGTCTTGCCTTGCATCGCTCGACAGATCCATCTGTATTGTGTTTTATAGTAAACACCCATCTACATCAGATAGTCTTTTTTTCTCGTGGTATATTCTCCAATGTCCAAGTCTGATTTTTCTCAAGAGCTTTCTTCTCATCTTTTATAGCTTGGACCCACTTAGAATCTTTCAATGCTTCAGAGACCTTGGTTGGAATATGGATAGCAGACAACTGATGCACAAAAGCCTTGAGTGGTTCTGACAGCTTCTCAGTGGATACATGATTTGCAATTGGATACTTAAATGTCTTGCCAATATCAGGTGAATAACGGTTTGGTGGCTTCCCAAGATTTTGCATGAAAGGTAATTGATATCCAATTGTTTTATCCTCTAAATGCACAAGTCTACTAGGAGTAGTTACCTCAAGGATATTCTCAGGAGATTGGTCTGTTGGTACTGTTGAGTTAGAGGGGGGTCTTCATCTTGTTGTTTTGTATTGTCTGTAGGTGTGAGACTCGGATTAGAACTATCTTCGCATGGATTAGGTGGGTCAAGCAATTGATCGCTTTTTGATAGAGAGTAATCTCGTGCTCCAGACTCGGGACGATCGATCATTTCTGTACAAAGGAGAATTTCTTCATTTTCCAAGTTGCTCCAATTCTGCTCTTCACTTTGTATCTCCCTCTGAAGCGTAGAATTGGATGATGGGTCATGGAAGAACAACTTAGATTCCAGAAAATTCACATCCAAAGTGACATAGGTACGTCGGGTAAGAAGGTGATAACAACGGTAACAGTTCTGATAAGTGGCATAACCCACAAAAACACAACGACGTGCACAGGGATCAAGTTTGCTACGTTGATTTTTATGGAGATGAACAAAAGCCATACATCCAAACATTCGGGGTATGAGTACCAAAACAGAGGGCAGAATTTTGTGTTGCGTAAGCACCTGTAAGAGAGTTTTAAAGGTCAATACACCAGAAGGCATGCAGTTGATCAGGTGAATTGTGGTGACAATAGCATCATCCCAGTGATGGTGAGGAACATGAGCATCAATCAAAAGTGCTCGGGCGGTTTCAAGAAGATGTCGATTCTTTCTTTTAGTAACACCATTTTGTTGCTGTGTCTGAGGACAAGTCATCTCATGGATAATTCCATATTGTTGGAAGTAAGTCTGAAAGTTATGATTGACAAATTCTCTACCATTGTCTGAGCGAAGAATCTGGATATGAGCATTAAACTGAGTTTTCATCTGTTTGTGGAAGGACTGAAAATGGGAAAACACTTCGTTTTTATTCTTCAGCAAATAAAGTCATGTCATCCATCTACAATCATCTATGAATGTGACAAACCATCGAACACCAGAAGGAGCAATGATAGGTGAAGGTCCCCAGACATCATAGTGAATTAACATAAATGAAGTAGTACACTTGTTCGTACTCAATGGGTAGGGCACATGGTGACTCTTGGCCAAAATACAAGTATCACATGTGAAGTCGAAGTCCTTAAAACCTACGAATAAATCTGGGATAAGATGCTTCATATAACTAAAAGATAGATGTCCCAATCGACAGTGCCACAACCAGATTTGCTTTTGTTTGCTATCAAAGGGATGCGTCACACTGTTAGCCACGCTGGGACTGAAGTCATCGACATAATATAGCCCCCTTTTCTTAGGTGATCAAAAGGTGAAGAGCATATTTGTCATCTTTAGGTGATCAATATGAATTTCCTACAAATGGAGAGACTCCCTCATGAACCCAACTTCTTCCCTGCTGACTTGGTGATTGATGAGGAGGTCCAGAGTCAGTTGAGGGATGATGTTATCTTGGTGTTCCCCCAACCCAATGCGACTACTGGAGTGGATAATAATGCTACTAAGAAGGAGGCCTCTGTTATGAATCAAGAGGAAGAGTATGATCCTGAGTGGAATGTGGTGAGAAATAGGAAAGCGAAAGCTAAAGCTGGCATAAGAGATGGGAAAACTTTCAAGGAGACTGCTAAAAGTGTTAAAATTGGAGGTATGAGTGAAGGGTCTGTGAGGCATGCTGCTGCTATGGATGTTCATTCTCTAAATGCAAGGGGGAAAGCTGTGCTTGAGAAGACTAGTCTGAGTCAAGATGCTACTAGTAAGAATCAGCTTATGGCTTATAAGAGCCCTAAGAAAAGAACTCTAGAAGAAGTTGAGGAGCATGAAGAAGAATCTGATTCCACTTCTTTTCTTTATATGTAATTCAACAAGTTATTTTATTAACTTGTAATTCAGCAAGCCGAATTCGGAATGCAAATTAACACACACACACACACACACACACACAAAAGAGTCCATAGCTTCAATTGGTAAAAAAGAATGCCTTTTCTAAATGATGAAATGATATTCTTTTTCTTTTTTTTTTTTGGATGAAAAAAATGGATATTCAATTTTAATTGGCTATTACGTTGCATTATGCGCTTGTTATATACAGGTGTGTATTTGCTATTATGTATAAAATCTAATTTCCCCATGAACTATACGAAATTGGTCTATGTATCATCACGGTCATATTCTTAAGATTTCCATTCAAGATTCCGTCAAATAAAGTCATGAATTCAACGCCTAGCTCATATTTAATGGCCTCTTGGTCATTTCATATCATATTCTTTATAAAAAGTGGCTCATAAATATCATTTTGAAAAGTCACGTGCTCAACTCTTGACTCAATTATGAGTAGGGGATCCTGTGTCCCTAGTCTTGTGTCTTCGGTCTCAGGTATGGGTTCCGGTTCCATAGTCCGGCAAGAAAATAGAACTTGAGTTGGGCCTAAATTAGTCACTATAAATTACGTTTGGACTGAAGTCGATCTTGGAACGGGTCATTTGGGCTTCAGAGGTATAGTGAGAATTGAGTCCACAAAGCAAACCCCATCCAGTAGTCCGCGCCCGTTTCATCTATACTGTAAATCACGCGCCAATGAAATCTAAAACCCTATCATACAAATTGGGATTTTTCTTCCTCGCAGAAAATTAACAGACATGGCAATTCACGCTGGAATTCTCTGCTTGAAAACCCAATTTCAGTTACCCTGTCGAGTGTTCGTCATGTCCTGGTGAGAAATTCTCGCACTTTCTAATGTTTCTATCTTTAGTATGGTTCCCGAGAAAATGAAGGAAAAAAAAAAGTTACTTTCTTTTTACCGTTAATTTTGAAATTTTAAATAACAAAACCCCAAATTTGTTAACAATTTGAGCGACTGCGACTCTTGATTCTCATGATTCAAACACTGAATGATTGAATTATCCACTTTTCTTCTATTTCCTATGTTTTCTCAGGAACCAAACAGAAAATTCAGCTCAGAAACTGAGTCGCTGATCGTTCAAAGTTCTTGGTGATTAGTTACCTTGTCGTACTTAATATGAAATCTGTCATTTGTAGGGCTAGGGAGAAAATTGCAATCAAGTGCTTGAAAAGCAGAGAATACAGTTCATCGGTTCCCGTTAGGTACATTCCCAAGAAATCTTCTCAAGTTAAAAAGTCGGAGAATTATCAGCAGACAAAGGTTTCTGAACAAAAGAAGTCCCGTGAATTTCCAGATGCGGGTGCATTGAAGAGTGAGGTTAAACAATGTGGAAGAGGTGTGCAGAAAAATAGGGGCTTCGATGAGAAGCCTCAGAATCAAAATCACGTTTTCTACAAGAACTACTTGTTTAATGATGTTGAGAAAGGTATTCTAAGTTTACTTGAATAAATAAAAAAACAAATTGATTGTGTAACATACAAACATAGCTTTAATTACATGATTGCACTTAACCCTGGCAATTGTAGCTTCTTGTTATCGTGTTTGTTTAGTTGTGGAGTTTTATTTTAGGCTTTGTTTATACACAAAACTGAAGCCATCTTCTTGAAAACATTATAGCATCTCCAGAGTTGGAAGATCAGATTGATCATCTTTCGGGGGATGTAGGCTATGAACTCATGGAAGAACCTGAGGAGGTTTTTGAAGAGTTAAATACTCATCAAGTGAAAAAATGTTATGAAAAGGATGTATTGCATGATGCTGAGAAAGTGGCAATAAAATTACTTGGAACCAGGTTAGAATTACCATAACTTCATAGAACTGCTTGGTGTAGTGCTGCTAGAATGTCTAAGGGCAGGAATTCTTCTGAGGTACATGATTTTGCCAAGATACCTTTGGATAGCAGTTTGAGGGTTTGAGTGTGTGTGTTGCTGGAGCGAAGATGCTATAGAAGTTTGAAAATAAGGATGTTTACCTGTGAATAAAGAAGAAAAAATTTGTTTAAGAAGTTCTTTTTCTTTGTAGGGCTTTCACAGCAGTTGAACTGAGAAAGAAATTACACGGAAAGAACTTTTCTCTAGATACCGTTGAGGCAGTAATAAATGACTTCATTAGCAGGTACATTTCTAGTCGTGAGAATGTCTTGTGTTGAGAGTGCTCATCAGCCAATTATCTGGAAATAACCATGTTTGAAAACTCCACATGCTTGGGTAATTATGTCTCAATGATCTTAGAAACTGGTTCTACATGCACGTTGTAAGACTGATTCAGTTACCACTCAAAAAGCACAAGAAAAATGGATTACAGAGATCTGGAAGTATTATTTACAATTCTATAAAACATTTGTGGCTCTAAACTTAAAGTCTGGTAGACCATAGTGAATTAGTTTTGCTGGCTAACAATCATGTCAATGGTTATTGTCAATTTTCATATCTCATTAGCAAGAGGTTGAAACTTTTCAAGTGTAACACCACAAGGGATTTCTCAGTACCTGGATATCCCTTCCTATTCTTTTCTTTTCTTAGGTCTTTCAAAGCACCCGAGTAACACCTTTTTTCTTTTTTTGGATCAGTCATTATTAAATGTTTAGTATTGTGTTCTTTTGTGCTCATGTGAACTGATCTCCATCTATTTCTTTACTTTTTAACTGTAGTTATATTGTCATTTTCAGAAGTGAATTCCAAAGTTTCATACCATATTATATATGATATGACATCTTTTGTGACCCTTTAAGTTTATTGTAGAGGCCTAATCAATGATAGCTTGTATGCGGAAGCATTTTCTCGTTCTAGATGGTCTTCCTCAAGTTGGGGACCAAGGCGGATAAAGCAAGTAAGCCATATGATTTTTCAGCATAATAGAAATTTGGTAGATTGAGATGACTATTATTAGATTGAAATGTTAAAGGACTGAGATTGTCATGTTAATCCTTGTTTTTCCAAAAGTGCAGCCTGATTTAAGAAAGAGTAGCTGTGTTGATATTACACTAGGTAGTCAGCTCTTGTTGGAGTCTTTATTTGTTTCTAAAATCTGATCTAGAGCTATAAGAAAGAATGAAACAAGTCAAGATAAATGTTAGTATCGATTATCCAAATTAGCAAGGGTGAAATGTCTGTTTTTATGTAATGAAGCATTGTTGTTGGATCAGGCACTTTTCAGCAAGGGAGTGAGTAAACTTGATGCTGAGAATGCAATTAAATTGGTTTTTGAGGAGGGAGAATCAGATAATGATCAGAAGTTAGTTCATGGCCTGTCAAAGCTCTCAATGGATAATTTACTTGTTCAGGCCTCAAAGCAGTGGCTTCGAGGTCAAGAAGTGCCTAAAGGGACAAGGAAATCAAGGATTGTTCGTTGGCTTCAGTATCGTGGATTCAGCTGGGATGTTATTGGCTTCGTATTAAAGAAGTTAGAATCTCAGTACCCACCCTAGTCCATAACCATCAACTGAAATGTTGTGTAGTATGGACAGGGTTTGGGTCTATAACGTAACTTGCTGCTGTGGCTAGAAAATTACTAACTTTAGCCCTTACCAGTACCAGACATAATGTTGCGTTTGCCTACCATGCCACCACCTAGTTTAGGTGGGGCGAAGTCTACTTTAATGACAACATAGCTAGAAGACAAGCAAGAAGTGGTACCATTTAGCTGTTTTTAATAGGAAACACCATTTTGTGGCTGAAAATTGACTCTTTTGTATTCATGTACTGTTTATATTTACCTCAATGAAATTTGTTGTTTGTGTTGCTGTATTTGAAAATAATTACCTCTAATCAACCTGCGATAGTAAGATCACAAGCTCCACTTTGCATGTGTTTGTTTGTATTGTCCATACTCACTGTAAGAACCTTTAGATTTGTTTCAATATTTTTGGGTGTTTTTGGACCTCTTAAGAAAGTACTTAAACTTAGATCTCCGCAGTATGCTCATAAAGTGGATGCAAATCCATGTGCAGCTGTAATGTTATGGAACAGTTTACTTGGTTTGTGTATTACATATCTGTACAGGTATAAATAATGATCCTGCTTTTCTACATGTGCTTTCTGATCATGAAAGATGAAGTCTTCTAATCCAAGATTAGTATTTCTTTGCTGGAAAGTCTTGCTCAGAAAAGCACATGGACATGTGATGTGGAGTTGGGGGACCATGTGAGCATTGCTGGAAAGAAAAGAGGTCATGGAATGGAATCTCATTCCCTCACATTAAATTCTAATTACATAAATCCAAAAATACCAATCATTGTTTAACACTTCTACTACATACCCTGCATTTACTCTCACTCCTCCAGAAGACAGTTAAGCCATCACCTATTCCCCAAAAGACCATTCTTTCTTAGTGGGGAGGCATTATTATTTCAATCTACAAGAACCACATATAATTAAAATCTCAATTTACACTAATATTCTTCCTCTATATTCTTCCTTGCTCTATGGGATTTTGATTCTCCCAAGATAATATGCACAATGGATGAAAGTTCATAACTTTTCATTGCATTGAATCTTCAGAGAAAGCAAAGGAGCAGTTAGAAGAGCCTTGTAAAACTGCTTTCCTAGCGGGAGGGGACGCCAAAATTGATTGCAACCCTCCTCCCTTTAACAATTCTGGTTCTCCCCTTGCAGTCTCAACATGTCGAATTTCTGTAAGCATTGCTACAACATCTTTCATCATAGGGCGATCATCAGCACGAGTGCTGACACAAAGGAATGCCACAGCTAGTGTTTGCAGCATTTCGTGCATTGTAGGATCAGCTCTTCCCCTAAGCTTCTGATCAAGGATGTCGACCGGATCTTGCTTCCTTGCCAAGTGCTCACGAATCCATTGAACTAAATGTGCACCCCCTGGCAAAGTTGGGTCTAATGGATGCCTCCCTGTTAATACCTCTAAAAGAACCACACCAAAACTGTAGACATCACTCTTCTCAGTGATACGCTGCATTGATGCATGCTCTGTAGTCACACAAAAAGAAGACATGAAACAAGTTAGGAACCAACTAAATTTAGTGATTTTTGGAAAAAAAAAATATATATATGGTAAGAAAATTAGGAACTAACTAAAATTATGGAAAGAAAGATTACCTGGAGCCATGTATCCATAAGAACCAGCTAATTGAGGCCTTTGGCTTGTTTTAGAAAAGTCATCATCACCAATGCTATTCACAATCCCAGCTAATCCAAAGTCAGCAAGATAAGGCTCATAGCCAGGACCCAACAACACGTTCATAGCTTTGACATCACCATGCAAAATAGCAGGCACACAGTCGTGGTGCAAGTAGGCAAGCGCATGAGCCATGCCTAAGACAACATCATATCTAGCCTCCCAATCTGCTCCTCCCTTCCCAGCACCATGTAGCAGTGAGCTCAAGCTTCCATTGGGAAGGTAATCGTAGAACAGAAGTTTCAGGCTTCGGTTCGAACCCCAACCCAAGAGCCTGATGATGTTCTTGTGCCTGATTGAACCCAGTGTCTGAATTTCAGTGTTGAATGCTCCTGACTCTTCTGATGACCACATCTTCTTCACTGCTAGTGTTTCTCCATTTGGAATTGCCACCCTGTATACAACTCCAGAGCTTCCAGTGCCAATCACATTAGATGATGTCAAATTCTTGACCATGTCATCTACGGAGAATTCAAGCTTCTGATACAAGGTCATTTCCCAGTTATCATCTTCCCTGAGAATGTTGCTGGCTATTTGAGCACGGACTAGTGTATAGACAGCAAGCAGGAGAAGTACTCCACTGATACTAATGAGAATGGACGTGATTAGCTTCATAACTGATCTGTTGTGGCTTGATCGTATCCTATCAGCCGGGGTTACAACTCCGCCAGAGATGTAGAGACCTTTATTTGCAGTAAGGTCACTAAGCGGGAGTTGCCGAAAGAATGGGGTGTTAGGCAATTCACCAGATAAGTCATTGAAAGAGACATTGAGGGAAACAAGGTTTTCAAGGTTTTTGAGAGTGTTTAAGTTTCCAGAGAGCTTATTGTGGGAGAGGTCAAGAATTCCTAGCTTGCTAAGGCCAGAGAATTGGGATGGGATTTCACCAGAAAACAGGTTACAGCTTAGATTGAGAGATATTTCAAGTGAAGGAATTTGACCAAGTTGCTTTGGAATTTCACCTGAGAAGCCATTGTTGCCAAGGTCTAGCAATTGAAGCTTACCGCAAGAAAGGATCTCGGCTGGTATGCTGCCAGAGAGCTGATTCTTCCCCAGGTTGAGTTTTGTTAACTCCGTTAATGACCCAATGCTATGAGGAAGCTGACCAGTAAGCCTATTGTCTGAGATGTCAACAAACTGCAGGCTTGTAGGCAGAGTATCAGGGACAGAACCAGTGATCCCATTTGAATGAAGATCAAGAAACTCAAGGTTCTGACATCCTGATATTGATGGAGGGACTGCTCCAACAAGACGGTTATTGCTCAAATCAACAAAGTTCAAGCTATTCAAGTTGCCAATCTCCGATGGAACAGTACCTGCCAGCCTGTTGTGATTTAACCTTAACCTGTACAGGCTTGTGCAGTTTCCTATATCCGGCGGTATAAAACCAGATAAATCATTGGAAAGTAGCAGCAGCTTGGTGAGATTTCTCAATCCAAAAATATTTCTTGGTATTGAACCAAATAAATTGTTGTAAGAAAGATCAACAGCCTGAAGCTCTTGACAGTCTGAGAGGCTCTCAGGAATATTGCCCGTAAGCCTATTTTGCCAGGCAAAAAATAGAGTTAAGCTCTTAAGGTTGCCAATGAGAACAGGAATCTCCCCCGAAATGTCGTTGTTGTCCACTTCCAAATGAGTCAGATCCAAGCAATTTGAAATTTCAGAAGGTATAGTACCTGATAACTGATTGACACTCAGCTGAAGCTCTTGAAGCTTGGAAAGCTCACCAAAACTTTTAGGTATCTTGCCTCTCAGAAGATTTTCTGATAAGTCCATGACTGTGAGCTCCCTGCAGCTTCGAAGCTCATCTGGAATTGATCCCACTAAGCTGTTCTGCCACAGCAGTAGACTCTGAAGCTTGCTGAGCTCCCCAATTCTCCTTGGGATTGGACCAGTGATGGAATTCTGGTACAAGTACAAGTTCTGCAACTCGCTGCAGTTTCCAATTTCTTCAGGGATTGGACCAGACAACAGAGATGTATATAAGACAATGGTTTGGATTCTTTTAAGCATTCCAATTGATGAGGGAAGACTTCCGGTAATGCTGGTTTCAGCAAGGCCTAACATGACCAAATTGGTGCAGTTTCCAATCTCCCAAGGCAGCTCACCATTAAGATTTTTGTTCCCTCCTGCTCTGAAAATTTCTAGCTTTGTTAGTGATCCAATACTCTTTGGAATTTCACCACTGAGTTGGTTGTCATAGAGAGTCAGATACACAAGACTTGAGAGATTTCCAATGCCTGAAGGGATTTTCCCTTCGAGAAAATTTGTATTGAGAGATAAAGTTTGCAGTTTGTTTAGCCTGCATAATTCTTCTGGGATTTCACCAGAGAGAGAATTGCCACTGACATCAACGAAACTGAGCTCACGATACTGTCCAAACTCTTTGGGAATTGTGCCAGTGAGATTCGAGGAAGAGAGGATAAGGGTCTTCAAGGACTTGAGAGACTGAAAATTTGAAGGCAATGGACCTTGAAAATCTAGTTCTTTCAAGGTTATCTCGACCACTTCTCCATTGGAGCTGCAGCGGACCCCGAACCAGTTGCATGGACTTGTGTCTAAAGGATTCCATGATTTCAATGCATCTGTGGAACCGTTTAAGCTGTTCTTCCATGCTAGAAGAGCTTGGCCTTGTTCATCAATTGAGTAACAAGAAAAGAAAAGAGAGTTTATTGAAAGAAGTAAGGTGATGGAGAAGATATTGGGAGAAAGCAAGAGATTCCTTAGAGTAGCAGGCATTGCTGAGAGAAGAGAGCAGGTGATCTGTTTTGGGATTGTAGAGGGAGGAACCCCATGTTTTGTTTATAGAAGAAAAGCAGAAGATCTGGATCCAAGAGCAACTTCTTTATTCTATTAATTAATAATATTGTAATTGGGTATTGTTGTTAATTTAGAGATGGTGATGCAGATGGGTTTTGGTTTTATTTATCTAAGTGGGTTTATTTTTTCAAATGGACTCTTTGTTCATTCTGAGTCAATTAATTGGCAGAAAGTTTTTGGTTTTTGCTCTCTTTGTTATTTTGTGTAAACAAGTTAGTGAATCATTTTTTTTTTTCTCTTCTTTTTAACCAGGTGTGTAAAACATTCGGAAGTTACATTAATGCTCTGCTGAATGTCATGAAAGAACCTTTCCTTTCCCTTTTTTATTGCTCATTTTGACAGTTAAACTATCTTGTTTCCTCTTTTTAGGCATATGTTTTCATCCCTTCTATCCAATTATAATGGTTGGAGAAGAAACACTGACATGTTTTTATAGTGGGATTTGAATGATAAACTGAAGAGTAAAATCAGCCTCATCATCCCTTATCAAGCTCAGTTTAATGGATTAGCTCTCAGACAGTGATAGCTTAGTTACCAAAACCAACCAGAAACAGCAACAACTTATTCAATGGATTTAGCTCTGGAACTGTTAATCAAGAGGGCAGCATCTTCTTAAATAAGGCAGGGCAGGAGGCCCCAAATTGTGGTCCATAAATTTTTGTGGCCAGTAACATTTGCTGAGCCAGCCATATCTTTGATAGCTGCTGCTGCAGCACTGCAGCAAAGTCTGTGGTGCTTCTAGCTAGTATTTTGTGCCTGTGCAATTGAGGAAAACACATTCTGTTC